ACGGGCTAGGAAGCTTTACGAAGTAGAAATTATCGTGTTCAATCTAAAGTCTGCATGCTGCTCAGGGTCAGAGTGACAAATCGGGGATCAAACAAGAATGGGAGAAGATATACAGGTGTTCCATCTACCGGTATAGGCGGTGATTCATAGGGGCTCAGGGGGCTGGACCCCCTTGATTTTTTTTTTTTTGGGGGGGGGGGGGCCCAAAAAAAAATTGGCAGAAGGGGCTCACAGCGAGGATAGGGATGACATGAGAATAAGGAATACTTGCAAGTATACCGTCTCTGAGCCCTCGCATATTTCTAAAAAAAAATCTCCGCTATGCTTCGATCACTCTGAAATTCATGTAATGTGTACAGAGGCACAAGCAAGAAAGGAGTTCCCTGCTGAAGATGGATCATTGTAGATAGCCTAGGGTTGATCCTCCCTTATCGTTGATTAATGCTTCTTTCCAAAACCACTTTGAGCTTCGCTCAGCAGCCCCGGAACTTCTTTAGCGGAAATTCAGCAATTCAGTTCAGTCTTCTTCGAGAAAGTCTTGCTTATTGGTACGAATACTACTGACAGACGTTTCTACCGCGTATTTATATTTTCATCGACAAGATTTCCGTTCCCCCAAATCAGGTACTGAGTCAATGAAAAGCAAGGCTTCATTCAAATTACCAGCAAAATATTATATTTTTCCTCCCTGTATCCTTCATATCAACGAAGAAATTTCGATAGGAAATAACTGCCATAGATAAATGTTCCGAATTAAAAAAAAATATTTTTAAAAACCCAAATGGTCCTTTAGGAAGTGGACGCGATGAATCACAACGACTGAAAAGCAAGATTCGATAAGAAACGAAGAAACGAAGCATATTTTAGGTTCCTTACTGATTATGGAGTTTAGATTTCCTGCAACTGTTTCAGTTCTACACCTGGGGAACATTTATCCCTCAGGCGTGAAGAGCTTTCTAGGCGCTTGTGCACTGGCAGCAACGAACAGATTCACATTAGAATGCCTTCACAACGTAAATGTTGTTAGGTCCGCTTGGGAGGTTCATTGCAATTTTCCACATATTTAACAGGAGGGCGTAGCCCTTACAGGAAAAGCTCAACATGTTGAATTGAAACAGCAAATCAACAGTGATTCGTCATTGAATCACCGGCTTTCAACAGTGGTCTCCGTTGAATCACCGTTGACATTTTTGGACATACCATTTTACCTACTCAAGTATCTGTTCCTCTGGTTTATGAAACAGCTGGCAGAGCTTTCAATAAGGTTTCTGTGTCCGATCAATTGCTTCGTAGAGCTTCAGAAACTTTTATGGAAAGGAATTGTCTAGGTACTGCATTGAAATGCGTTTTCACTGGGAATATGAGGAAAATATTTTAATTTTTATTCGCGAGGATGGAAAATAAATCCTCTTATGGAAAAGGAAATAAACATTGATAGAAATATTTCCGGCTTATACAATGAAAATATTATTCAAGTGTAAGTTCTAATAATTCGTTTCCGAATTGATTTATTGTTTAATTTGAAGCCTCATTTATTTCTCTGGGAATGGAGGCCAGCTAGACTGGGATCTGATCACAGACGAGATTAGCGCGCGGTAGCTGAACAGTGGAAGTTATATCAGTGAATGCCGAGTGAATCCCAAAATTGTTGCAACTGCAAAGAAAATGTGTTGAGCGAAAGTTTTATAAAGAGTAGGGGATCCGTTGAAATTCTGAAGGAATCATGTCAAAGAAAATAAATGAACTGAATTGAAATGACTGAAATAGAAAGTAACAATTTCAATTTGTTTTCTGATCAAGTCTGATCAATATAAATTAAACGAAGACTAAATTCTAAAAAAAAAGATGTACATGAAAATACCCTCAGAGACGAAAAATGAAGTACAACTGGAGTTCCAGTGGCAATAAATGAACCAAAACCAGAATTAAAATTATTTTTGGAAGTTAATCTACTATGAAATTAAGTTCATGACCGGAGTTGTGTCCCTTCGATTTCCTCTCTAGACTTTTGCTTCTTGCCTTTCTTCTTGTAAACGTTTTTTTTTTACGTAACGCACGAGGAGAATGAATATATTTCTTGACAAATCCATAAGGCTCATATCTTGCCTACCTTTATGTGACACAAATGCAAAGGTCTTTAAAATGCCACATGCATTATTACAGACTTCCATAAAGTTGGTAACATGCCTCTGGACGTGTGGACTTCTGGATATATTACCAGTTGAATTAGAGGGAAGCCTTATTATATTTTCGTTTACTCACTTTGATGGGGCCTCTGACGGTTGGTCGAGCCAGAGATCAGACTGTCGCTCTAATCCTTGGACATGATACTGTATATTCCAGAGGGGTCTGACCAGTGGCGTATTTTACAGGAGGAGGAGGGCAGGGGAGGCAGCCGCCTTGAAGCCCCCTGAAGGTAGTTTTCTCCCCGATATCGCTCGGGTGGGGTTTAGCGCCAAAGCTCTGTTGCCCTGCCCCTCCCTGACCCTTTAGCCAGAAATACGCCATTGGGTCTGATTCTATTAGGTTGGACTGAGTGGAATAATTCATGGTTGGTTTGGACCACATTGACAGATTCAAATCATCACAATTTTAAATGTTGATTATTAAAAGCACCTTTTCGTCAACAACTGCTGGAGCGTTTCGCGAACGGGACGAAATGGACTGACTAGTCCGCCGCCAGTTTGGCACCGTTATTACGAGTATATTCTAACAAAAGATTTATAAGTATATGTTATGCAAATGAGACAAAACGCTAGAATTTTGCATTGCCGTGATTCAGAAAAATAATATTGGGTGCTTCTGGTCATCAAAACCCATCCCGTCTTCCATATGCCCCAATTTTCATAGAGTTTTGCTCCTTACTATTTAAACGAGACACTGCACGATTTTGGAACTCTCAACATTTCCCATGTAGAAGAAGGGGGTGCTTATTGTCATTGGAAACCCTTAATTTCCTTTAGCAACATTTTTTGTTCTGTTCAGCATGAAAGCATTCAAAAGAGAAACAAATTCGAATTTCGAACAGCCACGCTTTGGAAAAATAAAATAAGATAATAAAAAATTATCCTTCCACATCGATGAATCCCCGGTATGGTGTACGCAAATTCTCGGTGGATTCTGCCCCGTAGCGCTTGAAGTAGACATGATGTTCGAATTTCAAACGGCCTGGTATATGTGGTAGAGCTCTTCTGCAAGGGATGCATATCGATTTGGTAGGACCGACTCGCCAATAAGGCGTGTAACTCCTCTAACAATAAAGTTTCCGGTCTGGTTTGGGGAAATACTTCCCCGAGACCAACAGTTTGAAGTTTAGAGACCTAAGCGGCCCGCGGGTCGGCCTGATCGGTTCAACACGAGGCGAAGCTGGGCCCTATAGAACTCGGCCGACGATCAAAATCAGGGTCGGGTGTGGGGCATGATTCCACTCAAGCGCACCTGGTCGGATTCGGAAAAACTCCTCCGTGCAGGCCTCTAACGGCGGAGAGATTAGAGAAGACCAAGGAAAACGAACAGAAAAAAAGAGGGAAATCAAGCGAGTAGTATTAAAAAAAACAGCGGAGGATTGCTGGCGCCACACATCCCTAGGCAGGGGGAAGGAAAGGGAAAAAAAAACCTAGGCAGGTGAGAGACTGCAAGAGGAGAGGGAGTGAGGAAATGATAGTGCGTCGTCTGCTACAATTTACAAGTACCAGAACAGGGATAAAGTCCCGCCATTCGATAACCCGTAAGCCTAGAAAGACAATTCAAGTACCATCTGAATCGTGAATCATTCTGCTACATGATACACGGAAGAGGCTGTGTGTATTATGCGAGTGAGGAGGCATGCAGGGGAAAACGTGACCGTTTCCTGCAGGATTCTCCGACTTTGGCATCAGTCAAATCACTATAAATCAGAGATTTATGAATATTTTGGCATATAATTAGGCAGAGCCCTTCACGACAGTCGTCTCTAAATATCGGTGCACAAAAATCGCAGCATCTCCTATTCGTTCCCGAGTAATCCGGGTCCGAAGTTCAAAATAGCTTTAAAATTATGATTTTCAAGAGTATTTTCAAATGGCACGCGAAAACTGTCTATGAGATTTGAACGCCACTTTGCATAAAGATGCAACTGGTCATGATGCAAAATCGTATGCATGGATTTCTCGATGCGTTGATTACGACGGATTTGGGAGGGGCAAACGTGAGGCGCGACGAGACGAGATTTTCGCAAAATTCNGATTTGACTGATGCCAAAGTCGGATGCATGGATTTCTCGATGCGTTGATTACGACGGATTTGGGAGGGGCAAACGTGAGGCGCGACGAGACGAGATTTTCGCAAAATTCGTTCCCCATCCCGAACCCGTGGTAACATCTTCAAGAATTTTACATCATTGTTTAGAGTCGAATCTAAGGAAGAGAATGAGACTAATTTCAAAGTTCTGCGTTGAACGATGCCGGAGATAAAAGCCTCCGAAGTGACCCATCGAAATCGTGACCTTAGTCTCGAAAAGTGGCTCTTGGGCCCTCCTTCGAGGTCCCTAACAATAATTATAGAGCAGAATTTTGATCCAGGGGGGTCAATTTTGATCTTTTATATGTACCTTAAACCCATCGCTACGCCACTGCCTACAAACCAGAAGCTTGTAAATGTAGCGTCTTATTTCCTTCTTTGTGTGCGAGGAAGCCGTTCCCTCTCGTCATCCGTTCGTTGAACCTTAGTGGCAGTTTTCCATTTTTAGTTTTTTTTTATAGCATACTTCTCGAAGCTAACATGCCGAATCCAATTGACCATTTGGTAAAGCCCCCTTATTAAAGGATGGCGGGTCTCAACCAGAAGTCCTGATTTCTGACGTTTTAACTGCTCTCTGCTCCCTAACTTTCATCCGCCGTTTTGCCATCACACTGCACATTTTCACTTTACGGAAAACTTTTGAGACAATTCTTTTTCTCCCTTTTTTCCGATCGATGGCTTTCTACGTCCTCACCACAACACCTGAAATGACCGATTGGTTTCCTGGTACAGCCAACGGCACATCAAATGCCTCAGGCAGATCCCACCAATCAAGTACTTTATTTTCCAATCAGAGAAATACCTCCCTCCATAGAAAATCAAGGGAACGGAAGATTTTTGAGGGTTCGATTCAGTTCCTGAAACTTGTGGATCTGGCGGATGAAGAAGTCCCCGTACCTCCGAGCGACCTTCGTGTCTGCAATGTGCAGCATGTCCTTGTCGACGTAAAAATCCACCTGCAGGAGACACGAAAAGACCACAATAAAGACCTTCTCCAGAAACACTTGATACCTTAGAACCGAGAAGACACAGAAATGTAAGCACAAACCTCAGAGCCACTGAGGAACTCCCCATCCAGCCCCGAGATCCCCTTGGTCCACACCACATTCATCATCTTGTGTTTGAAGCAGAGGAGATGCGTGACGAAGTCCTCCTCGCTCATGTCCAGGAAAGCCGCTATCTTCGCCACCGGTATCGTCGTGTAGAGCTTCAGGTAGCTCCGGATCGTGGGGATGAGGAACTGCTGCTGGACCTCGTCCATGAACACCTTCAGCTGCAGGTTCAACGGCTCCTTGTCCAGGTTCCCGAGGGGCTCGTTGAGCCCGTCGTATGATGGCGCGACGGGGGACAGGAATTTTGGACACGCGAAGGAGAAGTTGCTTCCAAATTCCTGGAAAACAATATTTTTTCCAACTTTAATGCCTCCATCAGAACTTGCATCATTAGGGAAGTCTTTTTATGAAAGCTATCAACCCACTTAAAAATGCTCTCATCACTTTCACCAATTTACTTTTATCCATTTCTGACATTTCTTCCTGATTAGATGCACACCTTGGGAAAAAATTATATTTGCATATTACAGTGTTTTTCACTTCAGTTAGACAATTTTTCACTTGACTAAGACACCGATGCGAGGGGTATTCAGAGAGGAGGCGAGGGCGCTGGTGCCCCTGGTGACTAGCGACATCTTTCTTTCCTTCGAATATTTAGGCTTTTTCATATGAATCAAACTATTTACTGGAAACGATGAACCGCATGCATAGCCATGTTGTCAACGGGAGACCGTCCTTGCAATCTGTTTAAATAAAAAGGCTCTAAGTTTTCAATTTTCCATCGGCTCAACGATGTAGAAACACTGGATTGGACTTCGATGGACAATCCCAGATCCACGTTAGATAGGCCTAATCTAGCCTACGTGAGGTCTGCGTGGGGAATGATATTTCAGAACCCAGGAACGATGCCCAAAACTTCATCTGTTTTATTGAAATATTAGGAAAACAGTAATGGGTGACACGAAAGCCTAGTTTTTCACTACGCCATTAAATTATCATTTCAATATATTGTGTATTAGGGAAGGTTCATATTGGTTTTCCTCTCTTCAGCAGGAAATTAATCATCATCGTTGTCGCCAATGTCATCACGACATCTGCACTTAAGTATGGAACTCCTAGTTTCTGCGTCGATTCGCTATATCACCCTCACCATGCACCGTTGTCGAAGTCAAGTGAAAAAATGTCTAACTCAAGTGAAAAACACTAAACTAGCTCAGTATTATTAACCTCTTCAGCCAGACATAATGCCCATTTCCCACCATAACACAGAACCAACCATTCAGTACAAATTCAGAAAAAACTTTTGACACCAACAAAACACAAACTTAACAGTAAGAATTTTTCAAGTCTGATGGAGACTGTGCCTTGAAATTTCTTCAAATTTGCATTCCCAATTTAAATTAATCTTGAGTTCACTTAGATCTTAGTTCTGATCTGACAGGAATGGTTCGGCAGAATAAAATAAGGACACAGATTCATAACAACTCTAGCCCTCTCAACTTAGGGTCACATGAATTATGAAGACAATGTCTTTATAAACTAATGCATTAGTTTATATAAACAGTGATTAGGAAGCACTTTGTGCAGCAACAGGGGAGGATTCTGATTGGATATCACTCTGAAATATTTTGAATGGTGACAGACTGGTTCCAAAAGTCACTCTAAAAAGTTCTATCAGTCACACCAAGCACATGGAATTTTTGTCACAAACCTGGACATCCCCTTTCTGCATCTTGGCCATCTTGTCGGCGAAGGGCTTCTCCCGCAGCACCCCCATGACCGACTCGTCGATGCGCTGGGGGTGCAGGACCAGACACATCCCCAGGAGGATGTACATCTGCTCTGTCTGCTTGTTGATGAGGTCATTCTGATAGCTCTTGCTCTGGAACATCTGGCGGGTACGCTGGATGTACAGAAGGATGTTGGAGAAGGTGCGGATTGCGTCTGCATAGCGACGCATCATCATGTATGCAAATCCCACGTAGTAGTACGTCGTCACCTGGCACGCAGGGACGCGGGAGTACATGCTCTGTGTGAGACAAATGAAAGCATATTAATTCCTCGTTTCCTTCAGCAACTACGCTATGGCAGAAAAATCTATTTCATAGGAGAATAATTGACCAGGTTTAGCAATGAATGCTTTCTAAGCAGGGGGATCTCCCTTTGAAAAATTATCATGGGAACCATAATGCAAAAAATCCCTCCACAGAGAACATTGAGTGACTGCTTGATACTTCCACCAAACTGCCATTATACAAAGCTTGGGGCTTCTGCTGCACCATTTTTTTTCTGGCTTAATGAGGCACATAATAAAAGTCATGAACCTCCCTGAATCCCTGAAAAGTTCCCTATTCTCAGTGCTAGATTTGAAAAGTCAGTTCTTGTTCCTCCTATTCATTGATTCATCCATTCCCATAAAATGCTTCATGTCGTGTACACATCCATGGGGAAAGAAATATGAAAAATGAGGGAGTTCTGAATGAGGAGGGAACAAGCTGGGAATTCCGTGAGGAACAAAATTATGAAAATTACATGAACTCCTGCTCCCTAACTAATTCCTAGCAAAACTCCAAAGCCTACTAGACAGTCATGAAAGGGCCCTACATTAGGGAAATCCCACTTATAATACTTCTGTCTTGTAGTTACATCCCCTGCTCTCTGCAGAACTCTTTGTAATTAGTAATATAGGGTCTACTTTTGGTGCACTGAAAAGAGAGTATGCAGTATACTATGAATAAGCCAAGCAAGTACCTAAACACCATATTGTAAAAAAAAAACCTACATTAACTCTGGTACAGAAAAATGTAACATCATTCACTCATTGCATTTCAACTGACCTTCTTGTTGAGTTCAATATTCTCCAGGACCTTGATAGCCTGATGATAATCTCCAAGGAGTGAATGAAGGCGCAGGAGACCAATGAGACTGAAATACCCCAGCATCTTGTAGAGGGAGTGCCGGCCAAACTCCCCTGCCACTGCGTCGGGATCCCCCGCTTTGGAGTATGCCTCCAGTTGTTGATTGATGTTGCTCTTCTCGACCAGGGAGTGGAGGACGTTGAGCACAGAATGAACGTTCCAGAGATTCCTGTGCTTTGCCAGCTTTTCCAGTTCCTCTTTGCTCTTCTTCTGGATGCGAGAGCGGAACTGACACCATGACTGGAACTGGTAGATGAACTCGTCGATGATATCCCAGAGCCACTGATTGGGGAGTTCCAATGGGTATGGGTGCTCAGCACCTGGAAAAACATGGCACGGTTGAAAACGAATGGAAAATAAATTCATGAGCCAGCTCAATATATAATGACATACTGAGGATGAGATTGAAGAGGTGACAGTAGTTACGGTAGGACCCCATGCGCTGGCCGATGTCTAGAGCCCCGGGCACCTTTGCATAGATGTGGCGATAGAACAGCTCTTGATAAAGCACCAAGAACTCCTGTAGCAAAAGGTTGTGGAATAAGAATGAGAAAGTCACAATGAAACTTGCTCAAATACAGGAGTTTAACAGACCAGTCAGAAATTCAACAGATTCAGCTTTTAATCCATCAAGAGATAAATTCGTAAGATACAATTAGCAGAACTACATACAATATGCCTTGTCTCACATAACCAGGTCCGGCTCATGCTCAAAGCATACAGATAGAAATGAAAATGAGATGGATTGTTCTATTAATCTGATGCAACAAAATATAATGTTGGTCCTTCTCTGCAAGCCAATTATATCATTCTTCAAGGAAGAAGTAGCTTACTTATGTTGACCAAGAAACTAGGAAACTTTGTATCTCCAATGACATCTTTTGGGATCTTTACCTACCTGAGTAGCTCTAGTTTCCCTGAATGAACTACAATGATTCAGCTCATGGTGGAACTGCCTATCTTAATAAATATTACATTTTACATGTTACACTAATCTATACATGAAAGATTTTAGCACTCAAAGTGACTCCTATGAGGAGAAGGCTCAATACTCCCATGTCTCCATCTCTACAGGGATCACTGGGACTTACTTCGTTCTCTTCCACATACATGGCAATATCCTCTGCTTCTGGCCATGGTGTAGACTTGAAATACTCATCGGTCATCTGTGGGTAGCTGCAAGGGAGGGAGACAAGTTCCAGGTAATGAATCAACTCTATTCTGTATCTAATGAAATCTGAAAAAGGCTTCACACAAGCAAGGAAAAACACATAAGGATGAACTTTGGCCATAGCTACCTGGACCCATAAATTATTGGATCTTTGTAAATATTTTCCAGTTTCTTGAATACAAAAGCAAGTCTGATATTTCCATGTCAGATATTATACAATCTTTTCAGTAAGAGCAGATTGCTTCATTTCTGAGTTCCTCTCCAGAAAATTTAAAAATTATGAATAAGAGCAATGTTGGTTGTTATATTTTCCTAATAACTAGATGAGTCAAATTTCAAAGAACACCAAGAATGTACTACAAAGATCAGAGAGAATGTTTAAGATCATTGGATGCTCTGAGAATCTTTCTTTTGCAAATACAGTGAAAAGGCAGTTGTGCTAAAACTGCTCTGTGGAACAAGAACACCTAAAACATCAAATGAATTCTTTAGAGTCAGAATATAGAGGTTCAAAATGCAAACAATCACAGCCAGTCATGCCTAATGGGAAGGCAAATCAAGCAGACAAAGTTAATCCCTCAGCAGGTAATTTTATTAGGGGTACTGCCACTGGCTGGCACAATGCAGTCAGTATGCTATATAGAACTGTACTGATACAGTTTCAAACAGTGTTTCTGGACTGACTTTCACTCAACCCACTCTCTTCCCTGGCCTCATCAACACCACAGGAGATACACTTAGTAATCATCATTATTTGCAAAGAGGTATCCTGATGAGTGAATTTGATGGAGGGACATTCCTCCCTGAGTGATGGAACTGCTACTGCAAAATTTGACAAGAGAGTCCAGAGAAAAGCATGAAGCACATGTAAACAGGGGTAGAGGTCAATCCAAAAGAACTGTATCGTACAGGGATCAAACCTGGGTCTCCCAAGAATGCAGCTTATACAGCACTGCAGGCTTAGCTTCCCTAATCAGTAAATTGGACTATATCAGAGGTTATAATATAAATTATTAATAATTTTAAGGACCTTCTCTTCAAAGGTCTTCCAGGCACCAAAAAGTGAGCATCATGCAAGCAATCATATTCATAGTTCATAGGTAATCATGGTTACACCTAAAATCAATTAAAGTTGAGAAAGTCAGAAGGTTAAAGAACTTCTTAACCAGCATAAAACAAACTCACCTGTTCTCATATATGTTCTGTATTTCATACAGATTGTTGGCCAAGAAGGCCTTGTAGAAATACTGGACAAAGTTCTTGACCACATCTGGGATATATTGGGCGAATGCCTTTCTCTCGTTCTCCATGTCCAAATTGGGATCCCCGGTATGGAGATGGTACCCTTTCGAGTGCTCTGTGTCGTACTGGTGGGAGAAGTAGACAGACGGATCGGTGCAGAGCACGAACATCAGACAATGGGCTAAGTCAAACTTATCGTGAATTTAATCAACTTGACAGGACACTATTCTATCCTACACAATATGGGTGGCATCCTAGCGCCGACGTTCCCATGCTCCTGAAAGGGCATGTATATTCTGCCACATTTTGTTCAAGATTCCATCTCGGTCGAAGCACCAAAGGTGCACCCAACTGTAAGGCCTACGTGTCTCGTGCCTTCCTCGACATCGCTTTTATACTCGTACACAACAACCATGGTCCATGAATTCGTGTGCTCAATTGAATTCAATCGTTTCTTCTCTCGACTAAATAGAAACTGTCGACAGAACCTGCCTAGGCTTCATTAAAACCTGGAGGCTCACCTCTCCGTAGCCGTCCTCATGCATGGTCGCAGGCTTCGGGGCCGGGAGCTAGGCTATGAATCGAGCTTCAACCTTCCGCACGCGTGTCGCTAGGCCTAGGCTACAGGCTATCACGAAGGCCGGGAGCGCCATGATGACGTCATCGAGACGGGGCCCTCCCAGCCAATCAGATTGTGCGGACGTCAAGACATCATGCCGTCGGTCATGGACCAGGAGTAAGTTATTTTCTTTCCTGGGAGTTAATGTTAAAGTGGAGTAAAATGTAATTGCTTATGAGAGGAATATCCACCCTACCGTAGACTGTTACAATCTATGAGAACTAATAACCATTTTGCTCATATTTATGGCAGCTTGAATTGTATTTTTTCGTACATGTTAGTCTAGCATGGCTCATGCTAGGCCTGCTGAATTACGACGTATCACCATAGAACTAGGAAATGTTCGTAATTTCTCATGTACAGGTTGCGAATCCTAACTTCGACTGATATCCCGAGCGCGTCATACACGTTCAAAACCCTTTCTGTTTCTTTTTTCTCACTATTGTTTACAGCTTGATTGATTTTTTTCACCAGAAAATCCCAATGCACTCTTTACCGATGCCATTTCACTGTCACCTGTAACTAATTTACCTCTCTTTCTTGAATAGGGTTAAATCCAGCTGGGCAGATGAAGTGGAAGAAGGAGATGGAGGTGAGTGTAACCTTTTTCATGGAATTCAGGGCAATGTATCGGAGTTGCATGCGTTGGATTGTACAGCACCAAATGCAGAATATTTGAGATGGCAAAGACTTGACAGAAAAGGCTGTAGGCTTGACTAGCCAGAACCTTGACCATATGTCTGTGATGCAAGCAGGTAATTTTTTTTTTTGCTTGCCAGGTATCCTTCCACCTCCAAGTGAAACAGTTGAGAATGGGATCAAGACCGTGGTGGAATACAGCATTAACGAAGATGGGAAGAGAGTGAAGGTATGTCTGAATTGCATCTACATGATGAACTGGTAATATACTGCTATGTAGATACTGAGTTGTGCATTACTCCTAACTTTAACTAACCTTTTTCAAGTTCTAATTGATATCCTTTGCTCCAGTCTAATTTACTCCTACAAAGAATATTTTTATCTGCAAGCTTTCATACTTTGTCACCCCTGCACGTCTGTGTTGTCTGTATCCCATGCAGATCGTACGGCAATACAAGATCGAGAATCGCCGGGTGCTGAAGTCTGTGGCTCGAAGAAAGAACCTGCAGAAGTTCGGCCAGGCTCGAGGAGACAAGCCGGGGCCAAACCCGGCGAACACAATCAACGCCGAGGAGGTCTTCATGCAGTTCATCACTGCAAAGGACCTCGAGGAGAACCAAGACGACGATCCCCTGGCGAAGCTGAAGAACAAGAAGGGCCTGGTGAAGTGTCGATATTGCGATCAGGATCACTGGACCACCCAGTGCCCCTACAAGGATTCCCTTGCACCCATCAAGTCTGCCCTTGTGAGTTTCCTTCTCTCATTGGCAATTTCCTGACCCTCATGAAGGAATTACACATTCCCTTTGCTTTAAGCAAAGGATTGTTTCTCTTCCTGCAAGTCAGTAATCAGTACAAAATCATTGAAGAAGATTTTGATCCTTTTATTTTGGTTAGAATTTTGGACCCTTTGATTGTCATAATGCCTCAGGGTAGTCTGTTTTTTACAAACGATTTCTTCATGTTGGTGTGAAGTTCCTTTTGAAATTGCTGCAGGTGATGGAAAAATGTTTTTCTTGATATAAAGTCCTTTGCTTGTTTGATTTCTTGAGTAGTTCCTTGAAGTTTTCTCTAATGAAACATTCCTTGGAATAAACCTCTCTGTTGGGATTGTACATTGTTGTGCTAGGTGAATCGTATTTCTCCACAAATTTTCTTTGAGCTTTTCTAGTTCATTCATATAGAAAAAGTTTTCTGTGTCATCAAATGGTAAATTTAATTTCTATTTTTTTTTACTTCATCTTTAAGTCTTTGTGAAATTTAAGCTATTTTCCACTTATTTGTTTTATAGGAAGAGCAGAAGCCTGCCCCTGCTCTGGAAGGGGGGGACAAGGGACAGGCCAAGCCAGGAAAATACATCAGCCCGGCCCTCAGAGGAGAGAGGAAGCCCGGAGAGTCCATGTCGAGAAAAGGTTTGTCGTCCGGGCACGGTTCTGCCTTCCACCCTTTATTCCCCAAAGCTCAACCCTCTTTCCGTCCTCATTACAGACGACCTGCCCACCATCAGGGTCACGAATCTGTCGGAGAGCACGAGGGAGACCGACCTGCAGGAGTTGTTCAGACCCTTTGGTCAAGTGCAGAGAATCTACCTGGCCAAGGACAAGAACACCGGCGCCGCCAAGGGGTTCGGGTTTGTTACCTTCCAGAGGAAAGAAGATGCTGCTCTTGCCATCCAGTCTCTTGATGGTTTTGGTTACGATCATCTCATTCTCAGCTTGGAATGGGCCAAGTAAGACTTTCTTTCATACCTTTGGTTCTTTGAAAGATTATTTTCTTTGTCTTTCAAAGGTAAAGAAGTGAAATAGTGACAGTTGTAGAAATGTTTGGTTTGGAAGAGTAATTTGTTCATCCTCTCTTTGCAGGCCTTCTGGAACAGCATAAATCAAGATTCCCATGTCATCTTCCCCCTCTTTTATGTTTAATGCTATATGCTTAAAGCAAAATTGAAATAAAACTGATCTTGGGAAACAGAAAGGAAGATATTTGATTCTTTTACTGTCAGTCATGAAGGTTTCCTGCAAGAACGACAACACTGTCAGTTCATCCTGTCATGGACATTTTGCTGGACTTACGGTTCATCTTTCCTGGATGCATTCTTTTTTCCTTTAAAAGCTTCAGTGAACTCAAATGCACTGCATCACTCATGGGATTAACCTCATTTGGTGTTGTAAAATAAGATGTTACCAAGTGATGCGAGGAAATCCGGTGAGGGACGAGTGTTGCCCTCGGTCGAATTGAAGTTGAGGAGAATCGAATCTCTGCTGGATGAATTAGCTCCTGTCAAAAAACTCCCAGTGGAAGGGTGAGTGGTGCAGCAGATGGCATGCCTTTTCTCACACCTGTCTGCTCTAGCCCACATTCTGTTGCTTTGTTAGCAGAACAGCAGCCACAGAGAGAACGGATGGAGATTCCCGAGACAGTTACGATCGGTTCGGGGAAAGAGTGAAGACGTACGAGCCTGCGCTTTGGAAGGGCAAACCCATTTCCCCGTTCTCGGCCGCACTGCACGGCTGGCGGCTGGTCGACAAGGATCTCCTGGGCTGCGTGACGTGCGACAGAGTCGTCTCCGCCCATCTCCCCTGCCCCTCCAGGGTCCAACTTCGTGAGCCTCGTTTGTTCCTCTTTCGCCGCTTTCTGGCTCGCATCTCACTCTGGATGATCTGTTGCTTCATGCCATTCAGATCAGAGTTGCAGCAGATGGCTGAAGGAGAAGCTGAGAGACAAAGGTCATGAGAAAGAGTGCCCATGGAGAGGGTCTCCATGCCCCCAAGACTTCCTGAATGTCCCAATCCTTTCCAAAAATGACAGGGAACTCGTCTCCGCCTTGTCATCTCGGTGCTCACACTTGGCAGCTCTGCCCACCTTGGAGCACCTCACTGTCCTTGGTGCAGGTGAAGGACTGGTAGGAAATGCAATCTTTTCTCCAGTGCCATCCTAGTAAACTTCTGTAGCTACTGGCTTTATCTTCTCTGAATTATTCACTCCCTCCTGCAAGTGTAACCACTGTTATATACAGCTCTCTTGCTGATTTACACACATATTTAACTTTGATACCTTATTGGAAGGCACAGCATATGATAGGTAGTAGGGAATCTGAGTAGTCATTGCATTATGTGAAGCTATCATTTATTGGACTAACTTGCAAATTTGGTTGTCGATTCTTGAAAAATGGGAGATTTTTATGGTATGCCATATTCGATCTCAGTAAGATGAAACTCCATGTGATTGACTACCAGTGCTTCGGTTGAGCATGCCTTGAATAGTTTTGATCTCTTTTGAGTAGATTATTTGAGCACCAAAGCTATGGGGTGGAGGTTGTCTGATTATGGCCAAATAATAATGAGTTATGCTAGGATAGATGGAGTTTCAATTGAATTTTGATATTTTAACTGTAAATAGCAAATGTAACTCAGTACTTTACCTAAACCCTAGGTTGGAATAATATTTTCTATTGCATCCATTGTACGTTTTTTTTTTTGTTAAATGGGGAGCAGGCATCATGAACAAGTAGAGTTTTTTCAGCAATCTCTTTGTTGGTGCATACTGCATAGGAATGGAATAAAGTACAATGAGTTGAAGTTTGCCTTCAAGGAACATTGAATGCAGTAGCTGATGGGAAGTCCAGTGGATCAGGTTGGCCTGTCTGTGTTTTTTATGTACATGGGCTTGCTGTCTCTTTTGCAGTTGTGTGTTGACCTCTGAACGAAGAGTGCGACATTGTGATTATGCCAGTAGAAGATTCATTTGAGGAGGTTCTTGATTGGTTTGTTGGGGGACACCCTGTATTGTTTGTAACCATTCTTGGTTTATTTTTTTAGTCAGAGGTCATGGAAGCAGTTGAAGCACTGGACACGAGTGAGAAAAAAGCAGCCACATTGGCTTTGTTCGGATGGGAGGCAAGAGAGAGCACTGTGACATGCGACCTCTGCTCTCGGGTTGTGGACCCCATGTTGCTTCCTGGTTCGGGAGACTCCCATGACTTCCATGCCATGAATCAGCATCAGTATTGGTGCCCTTGGATTCGAGGGCCTTCCCCCTTGGACCAGGAAGCTGTCGAGGAGGAACACTGCGGGTGGAAGGAAGCGGTGAGTCGTGTCCTCGCCTGGAAGAATGGAAGGAAACGCAAGAGACCCTCTGTTTCTGCCTCGTGGCAGGTTAGTTCAATGCATCCATGCGATGCAAATGTTTAGTTTTATCCAGTAAAATATTGGAAGGACGTTCAAGATGTTTCAGTTTATAACAATATAAGGATTGTTTGGGATCATGCCCTCAAAAAAGAATGGGACACATTCTCATACAAGTTTATTTTTGAAAAGTTACAGAACATTTGTGTACCTAATTAATTGTGTTTTGAGGTTTTATAAGAACTTTAATAACATAAGTCATGTCCTTTCACAAAACGAAAGTCATGGTTTGTAAAATATGGGCATTGACACGATAATGTTTTCATTTAACACAACAGAAGTCCTATGGGTTGAGTTAACAGGCATTCAATAAGAAACACATTCAAGGATCACATTGGTTTGTGTTACTTTTGCTTCTTTTTTCTTGATGCGCTACATCCACTCACCATCTTCATCAGCAAATCCAATGGGTCCCCATACCATGTTGAATCCCTCTAGGTCTCCACGTTGTTTCTATTTGGCATAATCTCCATTGATGGCATTCTTCAGTTTTGACTAGAAGGAACTTAAGGGAGAAATAGTATTAGTGTTGTCCTTTGAGTTAATCTTTGCCATATATGTTTTATATATCACACTCTTGGCCAATGTTATTAACACGTTGGCGACAATGCGTCCTGATGCCAGGATGCATAGAACATTCCAGAAGATTATGATTTTGTAATTACTGATAAAAATTCCAAAAAATTCAAAATTAAAAAAAAATTCGGCAAAAAAAATGTTTTCTGGGACCATGCATCCTGATGGCAGGACGCATTTTTTGACAAAAAAATGCGCATGGTCCCACGCGGCGGACAAGCAAAAATAGGCTGGTCGTCAATGTGTTATCAATAAGACATTTGGACTCTTATGTCATGAATGTAGGTTAAGAAGAATTTGTCTTCAAGAAGTAATGATGAATCAACTTTGTGTGATAGGACATTTAAAAAATTCCTCAATGATGTTAATTTTTTACATGAAATGAACATGTGGGCCAACGTTCCCAGCTCTCCACAATAGGGGCATGTAGGTGTATTGGTCAGCTTCATCTTATGTAAAAGAACAGGCGTTGATAAGCTGCCATGATTTAGGTGCCATGAGATATCACCATCTTTTTTTGATGATGGAAATCTATAGGGAGCTTTCCATATTATTGGTGTGTCCTTTAAGTGCATTAGAATATTTTCTAGTTGGTGGACAGGATGAAATTAATTGTGTTTTGAAGGTTATGTCATCAAATGGGTAAAGGCATTTTTCCATCTGTTTGCAGGAAACCCGAGAGGACCTGAAGCGCTTGCATCATTCTCTCTCTCCATGCTGATAAGAACACAACAGCTGACTTTCAAAAACTATTTATTTTCCAAGTTCAGCAGGTATATTTGTAATAAACTTCATTTTCAGTACCTGGAAAACTTAATGACCCCATAAAATACCCAATGATCCATGGGAGATTTAGAGCCTCAAGGACCACATCTTTTCTTTTTATCCCTGTCAATTCACAAGTGATGGCTGAAACCAAGTCACCCATCCATAATAAACTCGAGGGCATCAAAGGAGTACAATCCAATGGTAAAAAGTCTCTCTGCTACCAAGAGCTAACGTACTTCCCAACACAAACAGGCAGAGATATCACAATGAGCATGAGGCACTTGTAATGCAAGTCTCCGTGTGGCACTCGATAGATTTCTCATCGTCTGCATGCACTGTCTCAAATGAGGGGCGTTGGAATAACAGGAAGACTGATTTCTCCTAGTTCTCCTAAAATTAATGGGGTGAGACCAAATAAAAAATTCACTGCATCTACATATTCTTTGTGATTATCACAGAATCCTTCAATAAAGAAGGAGAAGGAAGGAAAAGAAAGGATAGGCACTCAATTGAACGAGGGCACAGGATCTAGCATCTACCAGTAGGTGGATGATAAAAGATCACTCGTTTGGTGTTCACTCTTTTGTCAAAAATCAACAAGCAAAGCCAGGTAACTCAAAGCAAAAAGTTTCCCTCTTCTTCCAGGCATTGTCATGAGCTCAAAATTACTGAGAAGTGAGATGGCACCTCGGATGGTGTGAGATGTCAGAAGTACATGGAAGAGGTAGGGGGAGAGACTCATTCTTGGTCTGCTGAATTTCAAATCCTTGACAATGTGGTCAAACAAGCCAAATGTATGTGGAAAAAAGAATACAAATAGCACCTGTGTCACTGGGATTGGCCTCACAGATGAGGGCTGGAGGTGTCATTTCAGTTCTGACACAAGGAAAAATGATTTGTCAACGCAGACCACTTCTCTCGTTCCCCTCTGACTAGGGTTCTATACGTACATCATCGAAAGTAGGAAGAGCAAATTCCTACATGCTGAGATCGGCTGGCATGGGAGAAATGGCAAAAAAGAAAAATCCCTGGAGGATATTGCACAGAAGTTGGTGACGAGATGGCCGATCCTCAGAGCCGGGTGGTGCGGGAGTGTTGTGTCCGGTCGGTGTCACTGTCACTGCCACTGCCGCTGCCGGGAGACGCGTTGCCCCGCAACTGGAGGATCTCTTGAGCTGCCGCCTCCATCTCTTCCGGAGTCATATCCATTGCTTCCTGCATCTCTCGTGATGCTGTTCTCACGAAATCTTCATCACAGTATTTTCCTAGCCCCTGCTCTACCAATACCTGCAAGAGGAGAGAACATTGACAATATTCCATGTTTTTAGAAAATAAACCTCTACAGGTCCCTTGTGACCAGTAATTTCTTGTTGATCCATCTGAAATCATGCAAGTGAGACCCCAAGAACGAAGTTAGCACAGTCCTGCATTTCAGATCTGATCTGCATACAACAGCATGACTAAGCTATTAATTACCTCTGTTGTAAAAGGAGGAAGCTTTGTGTTGCTATAGCCAAAGAGAGAGCATGGCAGGTCTCTAAAAATTGCTTGTGAGAGTGAGGAAATTATGAAATGCTTTCAACGAGATTATCAACAATCCTTGTTTTGCTTCTCCATGTTGGAAGGAATTAATTTTACATGTTATTCCAGAAGTTATGCAACAATGTTTGGAAGCAGTGGCTATACTGTAAGCATCAACAAGAGAGAGAATACATTTTGCAAGAGCACTCATTGTCTTATTTATCAGAATCTGTCTGGAACATGATGGTGCGAGAATTGCATTTTAATTACCTTTTTTAATCACTTGATTTTTCTCATGAGTGATTCATCTTCATTGATCAATTCAACATTCAGTGCCTCATCTTTTCAAAATGTTTGTCTCTTTTTCATGAAGTAAAGATATTAATGAGTCCTTGTCATGTTGCTCCAATCGGGAACATAAAAAAGTGGTTGAAACAGAAAGCATTTGCACTAGAGGTGTAATGACATCAGTTATACTGAATATCAGCCAATATTAAAGAAATCAGAGGTATTGGCAAGCTGATGAGATTGAAACTGAAAGATATGCAAACATTGCTGTATTTTGAGTGAAATCTAATTCCATGTGTCAGAGTCCAGAGGGCTCTGACTTTGGAATGATGTACTTTATACTTTTGAAACATTTACTTTATTGCAAATCCTCTGGCAGAGCTAGCATCAGACAAAGACTGAAGTTTAAAAGTAATTTTTAATTGAGGATAGACTCACCCGTCCGACAAGACTCTCGGCCGAGCCGACATAACGATCCCCAAACGAGGGACTTCCCGGGGCAGATAGTGCTCCACCCGTCTTCTCAACGATCCCCGGGGGACTCGCTGGTACTATTCATCCAATAATGAAAAAACGATATCATAGAATACATCTTGACAGTGTCTGGATCTTGTGCTCGAAGGTGCTTGTATGTGAGAGAGGCTTATTCTTTTTAGCATTAAGAAGCAGTGTTGCAACATCTGCCACTTTGCATGCCATGTTTAGATTGCCATTCTATCAAAATGTAAAGAAAAAAACTCAGGGGATCATAGAGCTACACAATGTAAGATTCAACTACACAAGCAGATAGGAATCTCCCTGCAGGGCCTTTAGATTTTGGACAACTGATGTAATGCAAATGTCTTTTTTCATAGGGAGTTCTGATGCTGAAATGAAGCAAGGGGTCAAGATATTGCAGTAATGCTATGTTTCAAGGTCTTGTGCTTCCACTTTCATCAATAGGTTCATTGAAATCGGGCTAAAAGGGTTGCCACGATTGAATCATGTCACGAGCTCAAACTTAGCATAGGGTTCCCATTAAAATCTAGGAATATATATCCTCTACCCTACCTGCTCTATCGGAACAATTTTCACTGGCAAAATTTGTTGTGTACATAACCTCAAATTAACACATGCATCCATTCCTTTCCTTCATGGTTCCACCAAAACCCTGTTTGTTCCCTATCTTTCAGAAGGTTGGATCTGTTTTGGATTTTATGATTGCTTGTTTGCAAATCTGTAGTGCATGTGCCTTCATCAACTCAGCATGAATGTGATTACTATGACTATTCTCAATCTAGAGGATGTCTAAAAAAAAAATCCATCACCCAATTAAAGGTTTTGTGTAACTGTGGGATGGCAAGCAATGACATTGAGTCTTAATGTTGACCAAGTTTGCAAGCAATCCCATTCGTACCATTGGTGACAACTGAAAGCAATGCAACCCACTTGGTAAATAACTCAACCTGAAGTCTTTGGCTACAGCGATTGCCTTCAATTCATCCCATACATTCCCAGTAGACTCGAGGCACAACCAAATTCTTCAAGATCAGAGCAGCTCAGAGTTGGCATTGTACAGTTTGAACATGGCAGCACTCGGTGGCATTTGATATTTGCAGTTACAGCCATCATACGTTTTGCAATATCTTCCTCTTTTTTTGAGAATTTTAAAAATACTGCATCTACTTCAAATATAGTATGTGCATATATGCATCATACAATGGAACAATTTCAAGCAACAGCATGCATCGATACACGTGAAGACACCACATGGAAAAATGACGGAAGACATGCACGAAAGGTCGATTACCTCTACCATGATACGAGGGAGCACGCTGGGGCATATAAGGAGACAGGGAATAGGGAGAAAGATGGCATCCTCCACAGGTTTTGGATTTGGAAAGAATTTGGGAATCCAAAGAGGAAGACGAGACAGACCCAAGCTCCTCCGTGCTGCAGGCATGTCAATCACCAAGAAACAATAACACTGGTTAGTTTTTAGTTAGTGATGGATTCAAACACTTCACTGGAGTTAGTACAGGATGCCTAAAATCATGTTAATGAAGACTCCCCATCAGTCGAAAACATTAATATTTTCTTACCATAATGGGGAGATAGTAAATGTGGATCAACAGGACTGCTGAAACAAATGGTGGTGAAAATGTCCAATTATTCATCAAACAGAAACCAAAAGGGATTTTTTTTTTTGCTTCCACTTCTCTTTACCGATGGATGTGAGGCAACTCATGCCGAGAGGAGATTTTTAATGGCAACTCACATGTATTGATGGTGATAGGGCGCGGTAACATCAGCACTCCCGTTCAACAGGTGGACTGGCTTCAGCGAAGCTTCGTCTTCCTCCCCGCTGTGTGATGAGAGCAAAGGAGTCAACATATTTAATCGAGACTCCTCATCGACTCTTTCATGCAACTGCGACTTCGGGGAAACTGTCCGGTAACAATGCCGACTTACCTGCCAATTTTATGCGTGGAATTCCATGACTGCACTGGTATGTGGTTTGCACCAGATTGAGTGTAGTCCAGTGAATGAGTTGGAGACACCTACGACAGTAGAAGCTTATGAAACTCATGCATTCCCTCGAGCCTATGAATTAATTTCTGCTGTGTCCTTTGGCAGGGCCAGGGTTGGAAAACAGGGAAAAAAAATTATAAAAGTGACAAATGGAAACTGAGCCGATAGTTTTCTCTTGAATACAGGGTGTCCATGAAAGAATGCAACAGTTTAAAAAATTAATAACTCGATAAGTTATGGATGAAAAGCAGCGATCTTTGCATCGAAATGAAGGGGAAGACTTGGAGTTTATTTATATCCCGTTATAGATGTCGCTGGCAGCTCAAAATGCGCCTGCAAGGGAATTTCCTTATTGGTGCCTATTTTTGGCCACCCCCATCAGTACAATGGCAACCGTTCACTAACCACTGGACTGATGCGGAACCGCCTTCTTTTTTTGCGGAAAACACGATCACCGGGGATAATTACCTTGATTTGCTAAAAGAATTTGTCTTCCCCCCAAGTCGACGACATCGAACAAGAAACTCGAAGTAGCGTCGTTTTCCAACGAGATGGTGCCCCGTCTAACTCCTCCAGATGTGTACGGCATTCCCCGAGTGAGAGATTTCCAAATCGGTGGATTGGACGACCAATCGCACAGCCTACAAGAAGTCCAGATTTAACTCCGCTGGATTTTTTTTTTTTTTCTTGTGGGGATATGTGAAAAACATCGCAAAAAAATCCGCGACCTGGATCATCTGCGAGACAGAATCGTTGCAAGCAATCGAGACTTATTAAGGTTTGTAAATAAACTCCCGGTCTTCCCCTTCATTCTGGTGCAAAAAATGACAGCATTCCATCCATTATTTACTGAGTTATTAACTTTTGAAACTGTTGCATTCTTTTATTCAAGAAAAAACTTGAATTTTTAAATTAACATTATTCCATTTTATAGTTCCTGACTTCATGAAAATCTCATAATTTTTTAATAGAAAATTTTCATCTCTGTGAATGAATTTCGACCAGTAAAGAGCCAAACAATAAAAAAAATTCTCGTTGCACCCATTCTCATGGTTGCATTCTTCTCTTGAGCAAAAATGGTCTTGATGGCTAGTTTTCGCTATTTTGAGCATGATTTCATGGAACGGCCAATAATAAAATGTCAAGAAGTTTCCTCCATTCCCCTGAATCATCAAACAGCATCGGTAAACAATTTCTTGACAACGAAAGGAGTTTTGGGTTTTGCAATCTTCAACACCATTACAGAAACAGGAAAAATAAGTGCAACTGAATTGTCATAATGAAACAAATTCAGCTGAAAACCAGATCAAAAATTAGAGAAAAACAGAAACAGAAAATAAAATAGTCTGGTCACCCAACCCTGGGCAAGGCACAAATCCTTTTTCACTCTAGGTTTATAGAAACTTTCAAATTTGTCAATTAATTTTTTTTTTAAACGCGTATTATGATTTTTTTTTAAATTGTCATAGTCCATTTCATGTCTATCAATACTTGCATCTCGGTACTAATAATAAGAACATGCTCTACTGAAATTGAAAGCATAATTTAGAAACATGACAGAAATTAAAATGAAGGAAAGACAACAGAGTCTCGATTCTCCTACTTTCTCTGCATTCTCATGAGAACGAATCAAAACGAATTCCTCCTCGCAATCGGAGAGGAAATTTAAAATATCGATTGATTCTGAAATGAGACCAAAAAGAAAGAAATTCTGCGAGAGAGCAAGAAAGCAGACAAGGAGAAGAAAGCTGACTTACAGTGGAAGCATTTGGAACTTGCAAATGATTCATATGCTGAAAGACAGAAGTGGAAAAAAAGCGGGCGAATTGAGCCCAAAAGAGCGAGAAAAAAGGGGAGTCGAAATGCAATACAAATCAGGGGAGACAAGAGAGAGAGGTGCAACGAAGGGTCGGAGGTGCACTGCATGCTTACTTTGGCATGAGATCGCGAAGTGGGGAGGTGGAAGGAGCGGGGCCGGGTCACACGCATCGATGACCACATGCTCCCAAACAGCGAATGGTTCCTCTGCAACATCACATGCGAAGTACGTTCCACCACCGTTCATTCATTCATTTAGTTTTCCCCTGCCCTTTCATTAGTGCAAGTCATTTAATTATTCCCTCAGTCTGGAATTCATGCAATTGTGATAATCGACTCATTCTTTCTAAGCATGGCTTCCTCAGATTTTCTATTTCTGGAGAAGGCACTGAGATGGTATAGCTCATTTTCTTTTTTTTTAAAAAAGGTTTTAATATTCCGAGTATGAAAAAAAAAAGTTGGTGAAGTTGGTTGGATCCCCAAAGTGGCGATGCAAATTCAATGATGAGAAGCAGTTTAGCGCAACCAGATGGCATCAGCGAAATGGCGGAATGGATTAGTATGCGAAAGACAAGGCAGTTGATTAAATCAATGATTAAATCAATCGAGAGCATGAGAGGGTGACTCAAATTCCCGGAAATTGCCTGGCCAATATTCCCTCTACCCGATAGTTCCTTAAGAATGCTTGGAACATTTTACAAAACAATTTTTTCACCCTTTTCCATCAAAAGTGAGATTTAAAAATTTTTCTCAGTTTAAAAAATTGACAGCTCAGTTTTTATGCTCTTTCGAAACACCTGGACGAATTTGCAAATCATTCTGGCTCGCGGGGCGAATTCCTCTTCCCCCGTCGGTACAATTTCAACATGAGAAAAGCCACAATATGATGGAAAACGGTATAGCCATGCAAACCGAATACACATATTTTTGGCGGCAGCCAAGGCAGGGGTTCGAACATGGAAATCGGTGAACAAAACTTACCCGATGCATTGGTTCTGGATCGTCTTCCAACAGCTGATCGAGGTTCCCTGAAATGGCTCGCTTCAACTCCGGCCCGGCTTCGTGCAATGTCCGCAATCCAGCCTAAATATAGTTGTCGCGGTTAACCGACTTTTTGAGGCACCTTGAACAAACGTTTTATGCTAAAGGTAAATTAAATTAAGGTTCATCATCATGTTCATTAAGGATCATCTAGTAAATCACGGTTACTTTCAAGGAAATAAATCCAATAATGGAGAAAGAATGCATTTTCAGCAGCGACAATAAATGTCGCACATATCACGCAGGCAGACACAGACCTGGAGCGTGACAGTGATTTCGCTCTTATCCCCCTCTTTTGCTGCTAGTTCCTTCTTCTTCTTGAACCGACGGAAGTAGTCCTGGATTAGGAATGTGGCATAGAACTTTCCCACCGTCACATCATCATCATCTGGACCGAGAGAGCGCATTTAGACTCGTGAAAACGCAAAACACGACGGCACAAGAGAGGGCATGACGGCCACAAGAGGGGCATGACGGCACGAGAGAGGCATGACGTACTGCCTGGAGGTGGAATGATCTGGTCCAGGAGCTTCGGTGGCGTCCTCTTCCAGAACTTCTTGATCACGGCTCTCAACTCCTCGTTGGCATCGTCGATGTTCCCCTCCGTCTTGATGCGGAGGGACGTTCTCACGACGGCGAACAGGGTCGCATTGAACATCACGGTGCCGTCGCTGTTCAACGGCATGTTCATTGCGACCAGCCTCTGCGACGAGGTCGAAACCGGTCTCACGACGGGAAAGGAGTTGGAAAAGATACGACATCTGGGCGAAACGAGCGAACCTTGCAAGCCACCCGATGCGGACACAGCTTCCCGAAGCCGAGAGGCGGTGAGATCTTCCGCAGCAAGGTCACGACGTCGAGGTGCTTGATGCGGCCCTTGGCGTCGGGGTCGTACTCGCTCCACAGCCGCACGAACTCGTCCAGGTGATGCGGCCCGAGGATCGACCAGTCCCGAGTCAGATAGTCGAAATTGTCCATGATGACGGCCACGAACAGGTTGATGATCTGGAAGGAGAAGCGTCCCAGAAGCCCTGCGCGAATCGACGAAGGGACTGCGAGAAAAAAAAAAAGCCACGAAGGCCGAGACCGACCAGAAAGGAGCAGAGAACATAGAAGGATATGAAGAACGGATAGGCAAAGGTGGTGCCACAATCAGAGCCTCCTCCGGCATCATCGCTCTCCGGCTCGCACCTCTGACCCGGAAGACACGCCAGCATGATCTCCTGCCACGCCTCCCCGGTCGCAGAGCGAAACAGCACCAGCAAGGCTTGCGGGAACGTTTGAAAGTTGTTGTTGCGGTTGATGGCCGTGTCCGGGTCCAGCGCGATCTTCCCCAGGACCTTCGACGGAAAAGAATCCTCGAGCCGTGAAAACCGCCCACCGTCTTCCTCTCGGAGAGTCTCCCGCTCACCTGCATCCCGATGACGGCGTAGATGAAGAACAGCATGACGATCAGCAGCGCCACGTACGGCAGCGCCTGGAAGGACTTGATGAACGTCCAGAGCAACGTCCGGATCCCCTCGCCTCTGCTCAGGAGCTTCACCAGACGCATCACTCGGAACAGCCGGAAGAAATTTATGCTGAAGAGATTTTCTCCCGGCTGCCAGAACGAGAAGAGTCCTCGCGATTAATATCCATCCTGAATTTTTATAATTTAAATAAGACTTGAACGGGAAAACCAGAATTCACCGTGACTTCGGAAACCCCGATGTCGATGATGCTTCCCAACACGATGATGAAATCAAACACATTCCACGCATCCCCGAAATAGTTCTAAACGATACAAAAAAAATTATATATATATATATTTACCAGTGAAGCTGATTAATTCCTCGATTCTTTCGACGACCGACCTTCGGCCGAAAGGCAAGCAGCTTGAGAATAAACTCCAGCGTGAAAATGGCCGTGAAGACCATGTTGAGGCTGTCCAGCGCTTTTGTATACGCTTCCGGCTGCTTGTGGAACTTCATGGCCAGGATCACCGTGTTGATCATGATGAGGAAGAAGATGAAGTACTCGAAGTACGGTGACGTCACGAACCACCAGACCCGGTACTGGACTCGGTGCTTCGGTATGTAGCGCCTCACCGGTTTCGCTTTCAGGGCGAAGTCGATGCAGTTGCGCTGAAATCGCAACCGGTTCTCACTTTCGGTCCTCCTAAACGGTTTTGGTTCCTCCGAATTTTTTTTTTCTCACCTGATTTTTATCCAGCTCGCAGTTTTTGTACTCCATCTCTCCCTCGTTCTGGAAGGTGACGATCACAAAGCCGACGAAGATGTTCACCATGAAGAAGGCGATGATGATGATGTAAATGAAATAATAAGCGGCGACGAAAGGTCGGTAGTTGTGGATGGGACCCATTTCCTCGGTGTGCGAATCGATCGATACATACAGGAGCCTTTTAAAAAAAAAAAGAATCTGAGAGGACCGAGGTCGCACATTTTTTTTTGCGAACATGATTTTGCAAAGACTCACTGAGGCCATCCCTCGAAAGTGGAGACCGTGAAGAGAGTGAGCATGGCCTTGGGCACGTCGTCGAAGTGGAAACTGTTCAGGGTCCAATTCCGGGTCTCCACGATCGGCTTTTCGATGTTCCCGTCGTCGAACACGATGAAGTGACCCCTGCCGAGAGCAAAAAAAAGCGCTCAGAAACGGCATCGAAAAGCGGAAAAAAAGACAATGGATTTTTTTTTTTTACTGGCATTCTTCCTGGGTCATTTTCGATTTGTCAGAGCAGGAAGAGAATTTCCCCTTGAACAGCTGCACACCTATCACAGCGAACATGAACTGAAGAAGAGAAGTGACCACCACGATGTTTCCGATCGTCTTCACGGCCACGATCACACACTGGACCACGTGCTACGGATCCGCCACGAGGGAAAAAAAAAAAACAAACTTCAGTAATTTTTAGCGCATTTTCGGCGATGAGGAAACCGGATGAACCATACTTTGAGGCCCTTGGCACGATTGATGGCCCTCAGGGGTCGGAGCACCCTGAGGACACGGAGGATTTTCACCACGGAGATGGCTCCATTGCTGTCGTAGAAAAAAACGGAAAATTGCACGGATGGCCGAAATTTTCATAAACGACTTAAGGCTGGGTTGCCGACCTGAAGCCAAAGGAGATGAGGGAGACGCAGACGACGAGAAGATCGAGCAGGTTGAAGGCCGAGCGGCAGAATGCTCCCTTGTGCAGGATCAGACCGTATGCCACGACTTTGAAGAGGATTTCGATCGTGAAAACGGTCGTGAAGAAGTAGTCGAAGTGGTTCAAGATCTTAAAAAAAAAAAATAAAACGATGCGAGTACCGTTTGGCAAATCGAATGAAATCGGCGGATTCGCATACCTGATTCCGGGGCGACTGCGACTTGAGCGGGTCCTCGGCGGCCAACATGGCCGACGAGATGAGAATGCACGCCAGGACGATGTTCCCGAAGTAGTTGTGATTGCAGACTCGGTGGCACAGGACCCGCACCCTGCAAAGATCAGTTCGCATCTCAGTTGGCATCTCAGTTCGCGCCGGGTGAGCTGGAGTTCACTGAATTTCGAGGAAACTCGACAGGATTTCCACTTTTTGTAAAACATTAAATTGACAGTTTTTAAAATGAAATTGACACGGGATAGGAGCAAGTAAATGACTATTTCCCAAAATGTGTGCTTTTTTTTCTGCTGGGTTTTCGAAGACTCTCGGAGACTGACAAGGAAACGGAACATTTTAAGGTTGACCGTACCTTTGTCTCCCTAGCAGTGTTACAAACTGAAAACTGTCAAGCAAGTCAACCAAGCAGTCAACCGTTTCAAGTGCTTCCACGACCACATTTTCCATCCTTGACTGAGCTTGATGCGATACGCTACAATTAGCAAACAAGTTCCAGAAGGGTCAAGGTCCTTGAATACACCTTCAACCTTGGATCCCAACCGACCCTACCCCCATATGACCTTGTCTATGCGACCCAAGTGACCCCCAAGTGACCCAAGTAACCATCTAATGTTGAAAGATTAAATTCAGCCCTTTTCAGTCCTTTTCACCCCTTTTCAGTCCTTTTCACCCCTTTTCAGTCCTTGTTGCATATCTGGGAGTCACAGTCGGGCATCTGCCCTGGCTCAGTATTACACGATCTGTGGAAATCCTGTAGCGTTAACTCAAGAGAGACTTCAAACATGCAGCTGCGAAATACGAAAATCAAATCCCATTAAGCATCAAATGGTGCTCCTCATCTCAGAAATACTTGGGGCATGGGAACTATAATTCAGAAAGTCCATGTGATGTTGTCGCAGCTGAATCATATCCTTGAACTCTCACTTGAATTAGACCTCCAAAAATTCACAGAATTCTTAGAATTCACAGAATTCTTAGAATTCACAGAATTCTTAGAATTCACAGAATTCTTAGAATTCACAGAATTCTTAGAATTCACAGAATTCTTAGAATTCACAGAATTCTTAGAATTCACAGAATTCTTAGAATTCACAGAATTCTTAGAATTCACAGAATTCTTAGAATTCACAGAATTCTTAGAATTCACAGAATTCTTAGAATTCACAGAAATCTTAGAATTCACAGAATTCTTAGAATTCACGGAATTCTTAGAATTCTAGAATTCACAGAATTCTATTCAAAGAGCATTCACAAAACAATGTTTCATGCCTCGAAAGATCGACAACTGAAAGGGGAAATACCTCACGCACACGCACACATTCATGCCTCACACGCACGTTTTAGTCTCGCACATCACGCGTCACCATTCCCAAATCCTCATCTCTTTTCATCTTCTACCAAGCATTTACTGAGTTTCTACCATGATGTTCAAACATATTTTACCACCACGGGCTTTTGAACCACAATCTGAAACCAATTGAACTTCCCGATGAAACTTTGGTCGAAGCCGCCCAGCTGGCAGGCTCGAGGGAATTTTATGTGTTCTTTCATCGCGTTCAATTCTTTCATTGATTCGGCAGATGGATTTCAATAAGAAAACTTCTGCCTCTTTCGTAATTTTTTTAATCTGTATTTTGCCATAAACGAGCTCTTTATTGTTTCGCTATTGTAAATAAATAAATTATATTAACACTATTGCACTTATTTTGATCCGATCGTGACTTGTGGGCCGCCCTGTCCATAGTAAACATTGATTCCCATTAAGTTCAATGTTAAGCAGAACCGACGTTTTCAGCAAAGAAATTGCAGCACCAGCTAAACGTTCTCTCTTCTATGTAGTAAATTATACGTTTTCCACGAATGCCACAATGAATAATGCGTTTGTCTCTCAGAGTGAAAAAAAGTAAACAAGAAAAAATTACCATTGTTGAAATTATTGAACAACATGGAATGGGTGTCACTGATCAAAGAGTATTTTCGCCGTCAACGTACTTCCATGTTCACTTCGTTACCCAGTCAAATTTATTTTTGTGGGTAAGAAAGGGTGAGTGAAGGGAATGTGTGGGTAAATGGGGAAGAAGTTGGTGTCTGAAAGATGAGTCAGCGAGGAAAAATTTGCTAAAAAAAATAAATGTTCCCTTTAATTTGAGGTTTCGGGTGGGCATGCAGTTGGTAATGCGTCGCAAATGCTAGGAAATGCAAAACCCGCTAGTGATTTTCAAAGACCAAAGGCATCCTTGCATCCCTTGCAGATTTTGAGTCAAACTTAATCATTTGTGCAAAAATACATTGTCCTGGTTCGGAAAATGGAATGCACGGATGCACGCCTACTCGTGTCACGACAAGAAACTCGTCTACTCCCGAGAGGGGAATTAGTGGATTAAGAGAATCGAAAGGTTGAATGATGCTGATGTCCTGTGATGGACCTGTTTGTGTGAGAGAAAATGAAGAAGGAGCTGGCCCGTGGCATGGGAGTCGCTTTGGACTTGACATTGAGATCGGAGAGGCGACGGGGTCGCGCTCTCTTTTTCTTAGTCCCTCCTTCTCCCTCCTCCTCCTCCTCATCCTCCTCTTCCTCCTCTTCTTCCTCATCCTCTTCTACCTCATCTTCCTCTTCCCCCTCCCCACTCTCCAAGCCCTCGTCACTTACTTCCTCACCCTCTGCGATTTTCCCCACCAACACAGTCACACCCCACTCATGCAATGCCCCGAATGTCACCTCTGACTGAATGTCACAGGTGACACTGATTCTGAATGTCACAGGTGACACCGCGGGGCATCCTTCACATACCATTGTACTCGAGTCCTTTCCAAAGATTTCATCTCGTGCACATTTCAATCATCCTTTGCGAGGGTACGAGTACAATGGGACGAAAGCAAAAAATTTGAAAGAGAAAGAATAATCCTATTACCGCCACCAGGACACAAGGCTCCGGCATACTACCCACCTGTTGGTATGGGAAAATATAAAGAAACTGGAGGCGTAAGGCATGGGTTTGTGATTTTCGGCCATGTCGATGTCCGAGATGCGCCTCGGTCGAGCACCCGTGTGCTGCCTCTTGCCTCCATAAGCAGCCAGAAAAAGAAACACCATCATTGCATTTTTACTGCATCTTTGTGTCGAGTGAGGCTGAAGAAAACGCGCCGCTCTTGGGAATTCTTTGGCGCCTCTGAAACATCACTCAAGTTTCTCTCGGGCAACCTTTGAAAATTGACCCTTTATCTCTCTCATCGTAGTTTTACAAAAGGATTTCTTCATAATTTCCATTGCACTTCGGAATTCGCTGGACAGGACATTTGGCAAACTGCAGATGGGATTTTTGCGTACCTGGATCATCATCTCGAGAAACAACTCCTTCCGCATGAAAGCGGTTATCTTAAGTTAAAGCTAGTTTCAGTCTTCTTTTCAGGTGAACCTATTTATCGCTGTTTGTGAATCGGTTTCCAAATGATAGGTTTACGTTTCAAGACGTTTAAAGGACGAATAGAAGTCGTTGCAAATTTTTTTTTGCAGTGATATCTGCTATCTCGTGAACGCCAAAGAATCTCAAATTGCGGCGCGTTTTTATTGCTTCAAGCGGTATATATCTTCACCATCGTCTTCTTAACTTGAGATCAACTGAACTCAACTCACTCTCGTGACGATTAGTAAGCTACATCATGGTAGACTGAAATCTGCTCGAATAAAATATACAGAATGTTCTTAAGCTTTTGTCATAAAAAATTCCGAATTGCTTGCCTTCCTAGGTCAAAGATGCAGCTACAGAATAAATGAAACTAGATATAAATATATAAATATAAATGAAACTTTATCATCGAGGAAATGTAGGCACTCACCTCCTTCCTCGTCTGGTACTTCTAGGTTTACTCCTGTAACGCGAACGCTCCTGTAAAGAGCCAAATGGATTGAATGAAAAATGATGAAAGATTATCCGATTATCCGATGAATCTTCCTAGATTTGCAACTGAATTAATCAGGTTCGACGAAAGGAGCTGCCTGTCTTCCCGATTGGGCGACAATTGCGACACCGTTTTTTTTTCCCCAACAAGCCGAGAAAAGAAAAACGTCTGACAACCTGATTTGGAGAGAGAGAAACGGTGTCGCATTTGATGCAGACATGCCTGGATGGGAGGGGGGGGGGGGGGGGGGAGGAAAGGAGGGGGGATTCCAGATGTAAGGGGTCATCGCGAAGCTCATTCTCTCCTTTCCCTCTCACGCTTCCAATATGCATTCAAGCCCCACTTATATCACTAGAGCAATGTCATTTATTCTCTGAAAGATTCCCTAAAAGACAAGAAAGTCATTCGCAACAGCTGGGACTGGGCATAGGCATCCCCGGCAAATTCAAAGGCAAACTAACGGTACATAATCTCTATAATTTTCTCCAAGTATTCCCCAACATTTTGAAAATTTGGATTATTCCTCAAATGGAGTTTATTTTTGCTGTAAAAGGAAAAAATTCAAAGGAAGATTTTCTCTCGGAAAACACGGCTCGACTGGTTTCATGAAATCTGTGAATGAAAATAAATGTATTAATTATCTCCAATCCCACTGGGACTCCTTCGCAACCCCCCTTAGACCCTTTTGCAACCTACAGTTTGAGAACAGCTGCTAAAGACTATATGGCTATTTTGCCATTTTTGCTATTTAAAAATAAGTAATCCATTGAAAAAAGATAAAAACAAGTGTTAAAAAAAATGAATGCTCTACAATGCATGTAATTAAATTTTCACGAATTCTCCAATCCAGTCCCAGCTGTTGTGAGTGACTTTCTTATGTTTTTTGGGGAATCTTTCAGAGAATAAATGACATTGCTCAGGTGATATAAGTGGGGCTTGAATGCATATTGGAAGTGTGAGAGAGAAAGGAGAGAATGCACTTCGCGATGACCCCTTATTTCTGGACTCCCCCCGCCTTTCCTCCCCCTCCCCCTCCAGGCATGTCTGCGTCAAATGCGACACCGTTTCCTGTCTCTCCAAATCAGGTTGTCAGACGTTTTTCTTTTCTCGGGTTGTTAGGAAAAAAAAAACGGTGTCGCAATTGTCACCCAATCGTCTTCCCTGGGTTCTGCCAGGAAACCAAAGCAAATCATATCGATATTTTTTGCCAATCAAAATATTGCCAGAATGACAGTTGCAAAAAAAGGTAAGGTTGAACATTGCAAAACTTTTACAATGTAAATGTAAAGTTTAAAAAATAGCGATAGGTCATGAGAAGAATTATGAATCAATGAATTAAAGGAGCAATTAAGGGAGGATTTGGAACTGACTTCCGTCTGTAAGCTGGGACATGATTAAGGTCGGTGGACTCGGCACTCTGATCCACTTCCTCATTATCTTCCTCTTCCTTTTCCTCTTCTTCGCCTTCCCCTTTCTCTTCTTCGTCCCCTCTCTCCCTTTCCTCGGATTTCAGCCTCTCCTCCTCTTCCTCCGCTTCCTTCTCGATGGCCGTCAGGCTCTCGGCGTCCGCGAGGTTGTCCACGGCGATGGCCAAGAATACATTGAGCAGGATGTCTGTCGGACGGTCAAGGAGGTCACTGCCTGTCTGAGGGAAAGAATTCACTGGGGACGGAAAGGATACAGTTGCCGCAGATGAAGAGGATGATGAAGTAGAAGCAGGCCAAGACCCCGATGTTCGCGACGCCGCCGTATGCTTGAATCCCTTGATACATCACTGCGTTCCAGTCTTCTCCTGTCAGGATCTGCCCGGAACATTTCCATTCTTTATTCGTTCTTTGGGAAAGCAGCTCATCAATCAATGTCAATGAATTAAAGCTTGCGGCATGCTCAAAATGAAACCAAATCAAGTCAATCGTGCATGAAAGGAAAGGAAGAGGGAGCGGAACAAAAGCACCAGAGATTACATGTCATTGCCCATGCATTCACAAGACAAACTTGTCCAATTTATCTCAAAACTAAAGATAAAGGCATAACATAGACTCACGTACGTGAGCGGAGGAGAGGCTGCATACAAACCTCTAAAACGAAAGTTCTCAATCAAAAATATCAATTCTAGTGAATTTCATGCAATTAAGCAAAGGAGTCAAACGATTTGGCACCCCATAATAAATTGTTCACTGAGCAAATCAACAAACCAAAAAATACGAGTTTGGTGCCTCTGGCTGGCACATTTTCATCGCATTACGAATACAAACGTCAAAACCAATGGCACACCACTACAGTACTTGGAACACGTAGGTACCTGGAAGACGGTAAGCAAGCTCTGCCAGAAGGAATCAAAGTTACTGCGGGGCTTTTCCTCGGCAGCGTTAAAGTCAAACTTCCCCCCGAACAACTGCATCCCAAGCAGCGCAAAGATGATGATGAAGAGGAAGAGAAGCAAGATGAGGGATGCAATCGACTGGATGGAATTCAGGAGGGACGCCACCAAGTTGGAGAGGGATTTCCAATACCTGAGGGTGAGTACACAAATGTGCGGACATTGCTTTCGGCGTGAGTGCGTTCTCGCGTGCGACTCGGCACGAGGGCCGAAGACATGCCACAAAAAGCCAAGCGAAGTGGAAGCCCATCACCCAGCCCCTCCCCGTTGTTAATTGATCGTGCTCTGAAACTCGTGTTTACCTGAAACACTGTCAGGCTGGCCTGCCAGAAGGAGTCAAAATTAGTTCGTAGCGGTATTTTCCCCCCGAAAACTTGCATTCCGATCAGGGCGAAAACGAAAATGTAGAGGAACAAAAGGCCCACAAGAGCACAAATGGCATTGATGGAGTTGATCAGTGACCGAATTAAATTCCCCAGCGATCTCCAATACCTGAAGTTCACAGTCACATAAACTGAAGCAATAGAAAGCAACGTTGCCTGTGGAGGAAAACTCATTGGCTCATTAGGAAAACTCATTGACTAATTGAGACAACATGGAATCTGTCGTCACAAACAGGGTCATGAGGTAGAAACTGGACGAGGGACTCACTTGGTGACTTTGAAAATCCTGAGCAACCGCACACACCTCAACACTGAGAGCCCAAGAGGTGGCATCACATGTGTGTGAGTCAATACTATCTCGATAATACTTGCAATCACCACAAAGCAGTCAAACCGGTTGAAAAGAGACACAAAATATCCCTGAAATGAATAAATGAGAAATGGGTGAGAGGATATATTCCGAACGGCATCCACTCACATGTGACAAACCGCGAAGTGACAACAACGGACTCACCTGAAATCCTAAGCTGTACATTTTGAGAAACATCTCAATGGTAAATAGCACCACAAATATCAAGTTTGCAATATCTGAAAAAAAAGAAGCAAGGAAAAATGAGAAGCCTTGGGATAGCATAAGAAATTGGAATGTTTCGTGACACTCACCTTGGAAGTGATCTAACCAAGGGGGTTGATTATAATGCTCAGAGGCGAGAACGCCTGTGTTGAGGAACACAAGAATGATGATGAGCCAGTAGAACGCTTGAGACTTAACCGCCTTCCGCAGAAGACGACGCATCCTCCGGTTCACCCTACCGAGATACAGTTTCACAGGCCTGTTTCACAGACCGAAAGACAGGGAATGGATCGTGATGACGATGAGCTTACCTGTCGAACGTTTTCCTCTTGGTCGCGAACCAAGATTCTTGAGCGACGGCTTCCCCCTCCCCATTTTCTCCCTGCTGGAGGGCCTCCGTCTCCATATTCCCTTCGGAAGAAACAGTAAAAATTTCTCACTGATGGAAAGAGAGGCTCGAGAGCGAGCTCGCCGCATGTTGCATTCATACTCTTGAGCCTCTCGGCAGCGTTGTTGTCCTCGTCCCCGGGGTCCAGGTCCTCCGCCTGAGCGATCCAATCGAGGTAGCCCTGGAGGTCCTCCTCCATCCGCTTGCGCTCCACGAAGCGGCGGAAGTCTCCGCGCTGCTTCGCCTTCTCCCTTTCCTTTGAGAACTCCCTGCGTTACATACACCCTCAGTCATGAACGGGTAAACCACCCGGGGGATCGCTTCAAATCTGTCATTTCTGCGAAGCTGAAAAAATCTCATTCAGTGCTTCAAATGCAATAAATACTTAGAAGTACCATAAATCACGACTAACAAGCAATGTGCGAGCAGTTCAGTATCGTAGTTTCATTGTGCTATGGTTAGGGTAAAGCGGCGAAACCCGAACGCCTTCATCAGTCGAACGCACGGGAAAATTCTCGTGATTTCGTCTTACTACGCACTCTGTGCGGTACATCTCATGCTCTTTATTTTACCTCTATGTATAACAGATAAAACCACGAAAGGTTCTGGGCGACCATGCAGTTCCGCGGCTAAGACAATCGAGATCATCCCGGTATCATAACATCTGTAGATATATTTTATGGCATTCGAATTCCTTCCAGTATGCAAAACTTCGCGGCCGACTAGAGAATGCCTGCTAAACTCGACCGTCAAACGCTTTCACCGTTTGCTTGGTAGCGAGAAAATATTTATTTGGAACTCTGTGAACCAGTAAAATATAAGTTGCTTTCAAGAATATTAATCTTCTAATTTGTGATGCTTAGACGCGGGATGCTTTATGCCTGGACGAAAAGCAACCTCAATGGGGCCAAGGAATCAAGGAGAACGATGCCACCTTCTGGCAAAAAAAAGGCACAAAAAGCGGTCGCCAGTCCCAGTACACGCATGAAGCCGTACGTCAAGCTGCAGAAGCAGTCCTGAGCAAAAAATGGGGCATATAAAACGGCAAGTACGAGAATTAACGTGCCAAAATCAAGCGGTCGTGTAAATGGATAAGTCGCACGCTTCAAGAGTGTCAAGAGAAGTCAAGAAGTATTCTTCCTTCTCCATAAGAATAATTGCTCAAGGATTACATTCTATCCATGGCTGCCAGAAGGATATATACGACCTAGCGGGACTTCTAATTCCCGTGACCTCTAAGTCCTGTGGCCTCTAAGTCCTGTGGCCTCTAAGTCCTGTGGCCTCTAAGTCCTGTGGCCTCTTTTGGAATTTGAATGTTATTGGTGGATGATATTTCATTGCGGACGGTTGAATGAAGGAAATTTATTACGCCATTTATATTTCTTTGTCAAGGCTGAAAGGGCTGAGCACGCCAAGCACACCAAGCACACCAAGCACACCAAATTACTCTGCAATTTTTCCCCCTTTTATCTCTTCCCCTTCCAATCGATCGCGCTGAAGTTTGACCTCGTTCCTCACTTCTTCTTCAAGTGCAAAAGCATTCTGTTAATCTGTCACTTTCAAAACCATTTGCATTGAGAAGTTTCCATCCTAAGCTTGGAAACTGTAATGATGAGAAAACTCATTTAAATTAGAGAATTTAAACACATACTCGAACGTAAAAGAAAATGAAACCATTCGAAAAAATTTTAGTGCTGCGTACAGATCATGTGCAGGTATGAAAAATAATTTTTTTTTAGGCATCCATCGTGGTCATTCATAGAATGCTGAATTTGAGGTTTTCTTTCAAGTTTCTCCGTTTTTATCACGAGCCAACATGAAGATATGAAGACGCAAAAGGCCATTATGTGATGTTTCAGCATTCTTGCAGCATTGCAAGCTGCAGAGAAAGGCGAAAACAATGAGACGTGACACAATTTGGGCCCTCTCTTCGCCTTGCCTCGCAATGCCATGCCGAAACCCGTTCGAGTTTCGTCGCTTTACCCGGCATTTTTTTTTTTAGCGATTGAAACGCTTCTCCAAAACCAACCTATAAACAAGAAGCCTACCTGCACTTTCACCTGAGATGTCACAAAAAGTGACATGCGGCCAATGCAACCTTGAAAAAATATTGCATTTGAAGCACTTTTTTCTTTTAAACTTTGCAGAAAATTTTCTAATGCATCCAAGATTGCAGGAAAACATGGGGCTTGCACATCAGATGGAGACAAAAAAAAAACTGGACAGCATCCATGCCAAGATAATATGTTGATAATGAATATGAAAGCAATTAAAACGCATGACGCAGGACAATAAGAATTCAGAAGTTACTCCCAAAGTTTTTGCAAACTCGCCAACTTCTCATGCGATCCGATTCAGCATTCCCCAGACAATGAGATTCAGTCCCGTCTCACTTGCTCCCGCCTCAAAACAGCCGATAATCACGGTTTTAGTGTAATCTTAATGCGCTCCGGCGCATTACGCTTATGACCCATTTCGCATCTCGCCAATTTCCTTCACCTCGTGCCCAATAGGGCACAGGGGCTGAAAACAGTTTTGAATAATTTTCGCATATTTCGCCCATAAATCCATTCATTTGCACTTGCACTTGTAGGTACGTGTCCTAAAGCAGGGGATCCACCCGGACATCGCCAACTCAATTGTAACCATGGCAACCAATTAGTTGCCTAGGTACGGCTGATACTGCAATTAGAAAGACTTGTAAAATTTGCATATTTGATGAAATAATGAATTTTTAAAAATGTAAAAGGAACAATAAATTATATAAATATCAGATATAAATATCAAAAGTCAAAGAAATACCATGTCACAACCATGTCGCTACACAAGGAATCAAAACACAGGATTGAGTCAGAATATTCGCTTCGTGAAGGGATTACGTAATGACATAAATGCTGACCGGTTTTTACTCGGAGGATCGGTTTTTCCAAGAAAAAATTGTCCGTTGAGACCATTCTAGCAGTCTGATTAGGTGATTACCCTTCAATAATAAAAAAAATGCATAAAGCAATGTGGCATCGATGCTCCGGTTTTTGTTTCACGAGCAAGCCCAATCCATCCTGCACATAATCCAAGCTTAGGTCTGTAGGCATGCAACGCGAAGAATCCAAAAGGGTTGATGCAGATCAAGGTTCCCTTAAAGGTGCAGTGTAATTGAATAAATATGGAATGATAACCAGTTGCACGGATCTCTGGAATTGTGTAGTTGAGAGGCAGTTCGAATGGAAGACCGTTTTTCCAAAACCGTTTTTGAGGGGTTCGCCGAGAATCCTGGCACGGCAGCAAGTAATGCATCAAATTTTTCTCACAGCAGCTCTGAGACAGATTTCGTGCTTGGCGTTGCTGGGGATAAGAGTAATCCAATGGGGATAGGAGTAATCCAATCTCCGAGGTCCACAACAGGTCCATTGACGTCCTCGACGGCTGGTTCCAGGTCACGGAGCTTTTCCTCTTTCTTCCGGAGGATGGTCGAAAAGTCCACTCTAACTTTATTGACACGAATTCTATATATTACTCTGATCCTCACAATGGACCGTGGAAGCCTTTCGAAAACAACACAACTGACAATCCAGAAGAGAAGAAGCTTCACAAATGTCATTCGCACACCTTTTCCTGTTACAAGAACCCCAGCAAAAGGTTTTTCTTAAATGCCCTTTACTTGCTAACAAGTTGCAATAATCAGGCTCTCATATGCCATGCCTCTTCTTCCATTCCGCTCGCAGAAAGTTTCCAGTTTTTCTCGAGAACAGAATGCGGCTTAATAGAGGGAAAAATTTCCCATTCAGTCTTCTGCTCTCCCAGTCACGACTTCCAACGGAACAGTGAGCTGTCAATATCGGAGATATCATATCTCGATGCAAAGTAGCCTGGCGTCTGCTTGCTTATGTGCTTCTCTGGGTTCCTCTCCGCGGGCCAATTTCATGCCAATGAGAAGCTTCTTGGAGAGGCTACGTGCAAATAAAGGGATGCTTGCCGTTTCGGCACTCCGCAAAGGGTGATTTAGGCAATTCTGCCATCCCATTGGTCTTGAAAAAAAAATTCATTTTGGTTGCATAATTTCTTCATCCTTGAATGGGATGAATTTGGTACTCCATGATCGCTTTCAATCCGTCACACCCCTTTTCTCGATGTCTTTCCATGGCATGATCCCTACTGCTTTCACTTATGAGCAGTCATACCGCAGAGCTCATTCTTCGTGACTGGAAATGGACGGGAGTCGCAGGGACTTGCAGAATGCGGAAGGGTTAGGCGTGCATTTCGCAGACTTCTTCCCGCAGCATTCCCCGTATTAATTCCGGCCAACGCATGCGGATGAAACCGCGATGAAACAGGCAGAATCTGGCCTATTCAACAGCCAGATTTGATATCTATGGTAATGATGTCACTCCTCTCACCGCGCTGCAGATCGCTTCCCTTTGTCAGAAGTCGTTCGAGAGGAATCGACCCGTGGGCGCAAGATACGCCTGGACAGCTTCATCTGCATCAACTCATTTGCATTCTTCCTCGATGTTTTCTCTCAAAACCTTGCTGATGCTCGGCAAAGTAAGAATTATCCAGCCACCTCTCATGCATGTCATGCAAAAATGGCAAGAAGCCAGCAGCACAGCGAATAGCGCCCAAAATTTTTACTTTTACCATTCCCAGACGTAAAATGAAATTTAAGGTATCATTTTCCTTCCTTTCGGTTCGTTACAATGAGTTTAAAGCAATGCTAGAATGATAATAAAAGATTAAGCATTTCCCCAACAAGCAAAAAAAAAAAGGCATGGAAGCAGGAGGATGAGACTCACCCAGATAGGACACCAAGAATGAGATTCATAACGAAAAATGCGCCTAGGATTACGAGCGAGACAAAATAGATCCACTGCCACGTGCTTCCCATGGCATCTTCAATCTGCATGGCAGAGGCGAGAGAAAAGAGAGTGAAAAAATGAAAGAGAAAAAGAGAGAGGGAGAAAAAGAAAGCGAGAGGGAAAGAGACAGACGTGGATCATCAGTACCATCCCCAAAAAAAGTCTGTGCGAGAGAGTGATGGCAGCCTAGGTGTGTTTGACTACCTTCGTCAAAGGGGAAGTGGGCAAAAGGGGGCTACGAAACTCAAGAGGGGTCGAGGCGTGTCAGAGGCGGGCAGGCAGAGGGGGAAGGGGGGCAGGCAGAGGGGGAAGGGGGCAGGCAGAGGGGGACGAGGACCTGGCCAAACTTACCCGCTCAGGACACCAAGGACGAGATTAAGGACGAAAAAGGAACCAAAGATGATGAGGGATATGAAATAGATCCAAGGCCAAGAATTTCCAATGGCATCGTTCACCTGCAAATGGAACATGTTGCTTTTCTCTTCCGACAAGTTTCATTATCTTACCACGCCGTTTTTCTCATTTCATGAAATTCTCTCTCACAATACATTTTACTAAGTGTTACTAATGATTTTTATTATTGATAAGGTATTCGCGATTTCCTTTATCGAAGATGTAATTATCACTTACTTTATCCGTATTTGTATATACATCTTAAGCGATCTCATAAAATTTTCCTGAAGTTTGGCAAGGGGAAAAAAAGGGATGGAATTCTCTAATCGGCTAATCTCATTAGGGGGAACACTGGGAACGTGGAACGGGAACGGGGAGCATCACACTCTCTCGGCAACAGAATCCTCAAAGAGCATATTAGATGGGGATTTTAATTGATGTATTCATCAAGAGAACTGAAAAATTCAAGTCATTAGAATACCGCAGACCATTTCTAGTACTCAAAGGAGACACGAGCAGGCCTCGTACAGCAGCATCTCGTCAGTCATCAGTAGGAAAATGATATTAAATTATTAATTAATATGCAAGACAAGTTATTTTTCACCAATTCTACAGGACAGCCATGATCGATAGTCTCGTATGCTTCGTCTCAGCTGGGAATGGAGAGGTGTCGGCGGAAATGGGAGTCCCGAGCAGAGTCTCTAAGGTTTTGGGGCTGCTTCTAATCGTGGCTTACAAAAACGAATTAAGGCCGAGCGATTAAAATTTTTAAAAATTTTCAAAGTCACGGAAACGACTTTCTCCATCAATGAGGAAGAGTACAGGACGAAGCTAAGAGATTTACAGCTTTTGGATGAGTGGAGTAAAAATAAATAAATATTAAACATTAAAAATTAAAAGGGTCGTGAAGTTTAATGAGAGTAAATGGTAAGGCTAAGTTTGAATTTCGTATTATATTATGGAAGTCTGGATATAAAAATGATGAAACGGAGCGAGAGAGAGTTCAGAGGCAAAAACGATAAAAAAGGTACGAAGACTTTCAGAAGACTTTCAGCCGTTTAAACGTCGGAACCTGACTCGCTCGAGAGAGGGTTAACGAGGAACTCTTCCCAGACTTTAAAGATCATTAAGGGAATCGATAACGTGAAGCGTGGCAGGTTTTCCCCCGGCTTGATCGAGGCAGTGGGACGAGGGGAACGGGTTCGAAGCGAGACTCTGGTACTTTACGGTACTTTCCTGGTGGGATGATGAATTCGTGGAACGTGGGAATTGATTACAGTTATGATTTGTGAGGGGGTTTCTCATGAACAAAACATGAACTGAGCTGCTTTCAAGTAAAATATCCTTTCATGAAAAATAAATCTCTACGAGAGAGGTTGGCTCATGCTATTGTATTATTTGTGAACGCCAGACACGGAGCGACATAATGGACATTAATGCCTCGCGACGTCCCTCGTCGTGAGAGGCCTTTGAAACCACATTTCGCCCCCCCCCCCCCCCCCCTTTTGGCTTCGGGTAGGTCAGAGTCTTCGATTTTCAGTCGCGCTTCCATCGTCATTCATTACCGAAGACATTCAGTCTTAGAACGAAGAAGAATGCTTCCAATCGGATTCTCGTCTCCGGGAGGCCATCGATCACGCATTTCAAGCCGGCCCCATTTTCTTTGATTTTTCCACTTTCATCGCCTCGATGTCGTCTCCGTTTTTTTTTTGTCGTAACAGAGTCGGTGTGATACGCTCGGCTGAGGTCGATTCACGAGCGGTAGGAGAAATCCTGAGGAGAATTTTTGATGTTTCGCAGTTAATGGGAGAAGTGGAGGCGTTTCCACCAGTCTTCTTCCGTCAGAAGTCACGCTTGACGTCAGCCTTTTTTCCCATTGTGATGGCACGGGCCCTAAGAGCAAGAGTCTCACTTTTGCCTCGCTCATAATCTATGGGTGATAAGAGTGAAACTTTTCCGATTCCTGCCTTTCATACTCTTGAGTGCTAGGTCGAATGCGGATGTCCATGAGGCAAGGGCAAGGGCAAGGGCAAAGCATGGGCTTCAGCAACGTCGTTGACCTTTCCACACGGTGAACGAAGATCGCTCTGAAAATACTCCACGTGCATGAAAATAACTTACGTTACTTCTCTTGTTGATAGCTTTCCCTGTTACATTCTGGATCCCCATCATCATAATTTACATGCAATTATTTTCTCTATATTGTATCAATTAGATTTTTGGCGAGAAAAAGGTAGAGCGCTTTCCTCTTTCTGCGACAAGTCGATTTGGAACGTCCTCGTTTCCTTCCTCGGTTTAGAGCTGTGCACGGTCATGAAAATTCCACGCTGCGAAACATCAGCTGAGGTAGAAGATACGAGACAGAAGATCTGGGCTGTACAAGACTAATTCCCACACAAATTACGGGGTGATTCCTCTGGTAGTATACTGCATTACGGCACCAAATGCCAACCGTATTTGCCCCAGTGGCATCGTATATTGGATCAATGTTAGTCCAATATGCTACGTCGCTGCAGGCGGTATTAACAGTGAGAGCAACACAACAACATTTCATCCACTGATAAACATGAGGGAAAAACTATTTTTAAAAAAGACTACTTAAAACGCTACAAAAAAGTCAAGAAACGGTACAAAAATACAAAAAACGGCCTAAAAAGACTATTAAATACTATTTAAAAACAAAAAAAATACAAGGACTACTTAAAGAAAAAGGTTACAAAAAAAAAGAAGAAAAAGTAAAATAATGCGTGAGGACTCACATCGTAGAGGACATTGGTCCACCCCTCCATAGTAATGCACTGAAAGACGGTGAGCATGGCGAGTGCGAAGTTGTCGAAGTTGGTGATGCCGAAGTTGGGTCCTTCCCACTCGAACTTTGGCCCGGCCTCCATCTCCCCCCGGCAGATCCAGGGTCCGCCCTCCATGGAGGAGCAGTCGAACCCCTTCCCGCACGGGTGGGGCTCTTCCATCATCTCCCCTGACAATGACGATCCGTACCGTCTTTCATCATCCTCATTTTTTTCTTCTGTATTTTGTTTCCTCATCGCTTATTGCATTTTCTTCCCCTTTTCATCTTTTTAGTCACTTTTTTTGCTAGCATTTCCCCCCTCTTTTTTTTTCCTTCCTTCCATCATTTTATTTATTCAGCACCGAGAAAACACAACGAAGCCGAGCCGCATCTCCCTTCTGAGGCCTTCCAGTCGCGACGACAAGATGTAACGAGGGAGAAGAACGAGGGAGAAAGAAGGAAAAACAAGGGCCAGGGTTAGGGGAGGAAGGAATCCAAGGTGAGTCGTGACAGCCTGCGTCTTGACAACATTGGCAGATCGAGGGAGAGAGATATGGCAGCGTGCCAACAATCCCCGTCTAGGCCGAGAGTCCTGCATATCGCCGACGAAAGTACCAGCCCCCTGAACCTAAAGTACCATGCCCCCGCATCCCCCCCCCAGATCTGGAAAGCACTCAAAACTGCAAACGATGCGACAGAAAGATACACACACTTAATTCATCACAATCTGGGTTGGACGCATAGGTCCTCCCTTGAAAAGAGGAAAGGTCTTCCCTTGAAAAGAGGAAAGGTATTCCCTTGAAAAGAGGACCCAGGTGGACCCGAAAAGAAACAAAATTGAATTGGCCAGGATGAGTTCTCAAATGGAACCGTTTCCACCTGTGACGACGAACAACTTTGCAGTCGACGGTGCAACATTGTCGCTTTTTGTCTCCAAGCTAATGCGAAAATTTTTAAATTAAGGAAATTAAAAACGACGATGCATAATCATCCGTTGGGATGTCGGCAAAAAAAATTGCACTGCCTTAAAACAAAATAATTTTACGAGCTGTTTTTCTTTATGTCTGGGCTGTCATAAAAATAATCTCTGTTATTCTTCGATTCCGGAGAAGCTCGCGGACTCAGGGGGAAAAAAAAAAGAAAACAAGACAAATGATGAGAAGAAATGATTTGATGCAACATCACGCAGGCCCTTCCGGTCGCATGCCGCCATCGTGATCTCTCAAGCGAGAAACTCCGGATTTCTCGGGAAACCCGCGGAATCCCGGGAATTCGAGGGACAAATCCCGGCAGCTGTTTTGCGCACTTCTGAGACGGGCTTATTCCAAGATTCTCGTCTAAAAAAAAATATCGAGCCTCTAAAAATTCCACTCTGGTCATATTATTGGCGGCCTCCTCGTTCCGTTGAATTTTACCCAGTTCTAAATATACCAAAAAAATTACAGGTTGAAACGATTTTTCTTGCACTGCCATCAATACATCACAATATAATACTTCTCTGAATCTACATTTATCACCCGGACATGGTGGCCTTGGGGCATTTCCTCCTGCCGGCAAGGCCATCTCGGAACACCGGGTCGCACGCCTAAAAGGCGACACGCACGCCAAAAAAGCGTCACGCACGCTGGCCGGTGGCTTTCAACGCGAGCCGGACTCGGACGACCGGCGAAGCGAAAGGTTCCAGCATTTCCGGAATCCGGAAGGGATGAGGAAGGATGGCTTGGCGTCCATCCAAAAAGGATCCCCCCTTTTTGTGCCTTTTTTTTTTCTTTTTTGCTTTCTCGGAGGGATTCATGAATCTCCACACCGCCAGCTTCATCTTCATGGCTGTTTCCTTCATCCCGGAAGTTCGCTGCGAAGTCAGTTTCCTGGGACTTTCCGGGAAACGAAACTTGTTGCTGGAAATACCTTTAAACGTAACGATCTTTAAATATCTCCTGTTCGAAATTATCCTGAGAAATCTTCAAACAAAATTTGCAAACATTTCCGACTCGTTCTTTCATATGAATCCGAGCAGCTACCAAATGATTTCGCCCCCCACCGCCCCCCACTGCCCCCCACTGCCCCCCAGCGCCCAGGACTGCAATTTCGAAATTGCAGTCCTGGAACCGACTCAATTATTCGACACCGACTTCATATGGATGTAATGGGCTGTAAGGGCCTGTAAAGGACTGTAAGGTCTTCGTAGCAGCTCCTAGGAGATGAATCATCGCAATGGCAAGCGAAACATACGATGCGTCATGTGCAGTTTCTTTACTTCTCATAAATCAGACGTTCATTACGTCGCAGAAATAGCCGGATTTCCAGGCATTCATCTGCTCTGTCTTTTTGCGTCTCCGAGATTAATGGAAGAATCAGATTTCGCAAGTCATTACTGCACGGGAAATGCAAAAAAAAAAGCGGCAATAAATATTTGCACGGCGACTCGATTCACCGCGACTGCAGTTTGTCTCATCGCACAAACTTCTGCTTGATTAGCTCATTGCTAATTGTCCTTATTAGCGCGATTCCACAAAGAGAATAGTCTTTCTTTCCTTTCAGACTTTCTTGTCGAACTTGTCTTTTGTTCTTGTTTCCGCAATTAGGCTTTTCTGACAGGAATTTTATCGACACGACTGAAGGGCATACTCGCCTTTTTTCCCCCTCGAAACCGAAAAAGGCGAGGCGAATTGCTCCACAGCCCATGTGTTACTCGTCTGACTGGAAGCGAAGCTGACACATGTCTGCGTGTTTCGGCTTTCGAGGAGGCAAACAAGCTCCTCTCCTCCCGCCCATGCTTGGCTCCACGTCACAGGGAGCCAAGCATGGGAATTCTTCGTTCTCTCCCGATTTTGTCCATTCGCTCTGAGGTTCCGCACTTTGTCAGCGCGTCTTAATCGGCGTGTTTGCACCGCGAACGAGGTCGATCGCTTTCTTTCACGGCGTTTCCCCAGACTAATGGACTCTACGCCTGTTGACCCAGATTCCGCGAAAGTCGTGGCAGAATACCATCGCAGACCGAAATTTATGGAATCAGCGCACGCGGACTGCAAGTACGACACCATAAACTCAAATGAGTCAATCATCTCTGTCTCATAATCCCATAACATAGTGCCTCGCCTCCCCACCCTGCTCGGAGTGAATTCGGCCACGAAGCACTATCATGCGACGGTCTGATGGGCTCCAAATGGGCCGTATTCACCCGAATATAGGGCGATTTTTTTTTTTAACCGGAAATCAGGGCTTCAAGAATCCATACTCGCCTCGTATCAGAGGTTGCCGTGTACACAGGAAAAATACGGAATATCACAGGATGCGCAGAGACTTCTCATATTGAAGCTTTCGAAAGAGGGAGAGGGAGAGGGAGAGGGAGAGGGAGAGGGAGAGGGAGAGGGA